ACTAACACGAGTCTCATTAAGTATCCAGTTTAAGGGTATTACACAGAAACATACCAAGGGAACATGAATCAAATATGCACTTTTATTCATTTACATTAAACTCATAAAGTACATCATTCTGATTGAAGCTAAGGCCTCTTCAAAACTGTCTAACAAAAGGCCTCTTCAAATAAGATATCGAGTGAGCTCCCTGTGTCTACTAGAATGTGCCAAACTTCGTAGTTGGCTATCTCAGTCGTGATCACCATGGTGTCATTGTGTAGGGTCTGGACCCCTTGAGATCATCGTCGGTGAAGGTGATCAGATCCTCTCGCCTTTTCTTTTGTTCTTTGTTGTCGATCTCAAGCAACCGCGCATACTTCTTTCAACTCGAGCTGCTCTCCCCTCTAGAGGCCATCCCTCTTGATATCATAGTAATGACTCTAGCTAGGGGAGCTCGGCTTGGGGGTCTGGGGCACGGTTCCTCCTTCGGCTTGTCTTCTTTTATGTCAANCCCTCTTGATATCATAGTAATGACTCTAGCTAGGGGAGCTCGGCTTGGGGGTCTGGGGCACGGTTCCTCCTTCGGCTTGTCTTCTTTTATGTCAAAGCAATTTCGATGGAGCAAGGCACAGAGAAGCCGCAACTCAGTAGTAGGCCGTACTACTAGGATTGAGAGTAGGGTGGTAACCAGCCGAGCTTTTCACGAGCTGCTCGAGCTCGACTCGAGGCTCGCGACCCGACTCAGATATATATATATATATTTGATATTTAATATATATATATATATTTGATATTTAATATATATATATAATATAATAAAATTATAGAAAACAATATATATGAAATAAAAATATTATAATTATTAATTATTATAATTTTTTTATAAAATATTTTTTATCAAAATCGAGCTTGAGCCGAGCCAAACTCGAGCTTATGAATTTTTTACTTGAGTTGAGCTCGAGCTCAAGGTTCTGGCTCGAACCAAGCTCGAGCCTTGCAGAACAGTCTCGAGCCGAGCTCGAGCCTGGTAGTATTCAGCTTGGCTCGGTTCGGCATGAATCCACTCTAGTTGTTAGTATCATGGTCGTGGTCTCGGTGGAACTCGTCGTACTTGTCCCAGTTCCTATTGTTGCTCTGAGTCTTCATCTTCTCAGGCCACCTGACATACTTGTTGTCATGAATTTGCATTAGTACAGACCGCGGTGTAGTCAACGATGTGAAATTCCTGTAGGTTGGAGGAAGGGTCCTTGGCCTTCGGTTTGGTCGGTGGTCCTGTCTCTTGTTGTCTTGGTCCGTCCTCTCTGTCTTACGGTCACCGGGGTCTCTCCTCTTCCTGTCGTGTTGTTCTTCCTCGCCCCTTAGTTGTACTTGTGCTTCTTCAGTGCTAATGTATTTTTGGGAGTGGGCCATCAATGGCCAYAGTCTGAGGAGGATTCTTTGAGATTGAAAGTTGAATGGAGAGGGGCAGAGTCCTTGCATGAAGGCTGTGACGGCCACCGATTGGTTCGGTGCTTGGATGTGTATGGCCTCTGAGTTGAACCTTGCTAGGTATTCTCTGAGGGACTCCCCTTTCCTCTGCCACACTTGGAAGAGACTTGTCGAAGTTTTCCAGTGTTTCTTGCTGGCCGTGAATTGTGCCAGGAACTAGCATTCCAACTGCTCCCAAGAGGAGATGGAGCATGGGGGAAGGGAGGTGTACCAAGTTAGGGCCATGTCCTTAAGAGTTGCTATGAAAGCTTTGCACATCAGGTCTTCGGATGAGCCGTGAGCATCATTTGGGCCTTGAAGGCTTCAAGGTGGTCATTGGGATCTATGGATCCGTTGTACCTCTCGAACTGTGGGGCTCGCCAGCCAACTGGAGGGAGCTCATCCACGATGTCCAGGTGAATGGCGGCTCCTTGGCAAGCTGGTTGCTTGGTTTTGTGGGTCAGACCACTGGAGGGGCTGCACTTCTTTGAGCCTGGTTGTGCTCCAAATAGGTCAGACGCTGTTGGAGTTCTCGGATCTTTACGTCCCTGTTGTTTGAAACCGCAGCAGGCGTGGCTCTTTTCTTCTTGGGCGCTGCCGGGTGATCTTTGATTGAGCTATACTCGGCGACAGAGACTGGCAGCTGCATCCGCTTTCCGAGCCTTTCCTTTGTTGGAATCTAGGCTGATTGATGAGTTATGCTACAGTTGTTGCGTTCACGGGACCGGGCTGAGGAGCTTGATCTTTTTGAAGTTTGTTGCTTCTCTAGATCAAGTCGCACCCTATCCTTGTCCAACCAATGTGTTTTGGGGTCCTCAGGGCGAGGATCGGCCACAGTATGGTTTGAGGAGGCTGTGCTGTAGACTCCAGCGACTGCATCATCGCCAAGATCTAGTTGACCTTTTCTTGCATTGCTTGAAATTGGGTGGGGTTGACCGTAGCTTGCTACTGAGGTTGCTGAGTTTCGCAGCGYGACAGACTACGATGAGAGTGGGATCCCCAAGATGAGGATTGACATGTTGAACGTTCAGACACGTTTCTTGGCATCTTTCTTAATTACGTAGAAAGAAGGTTTGGAATAGCTTTTTGTGCGATTCTCACAAACAACGGCAATTTGATGCTGCTCGATTTGAGGTAGTTCTTTAACCGAGGTCGTAATCAGATGATCCTGCCAACTAGGCGGAGCCGAGGTGGAAGGACGAGGTCGTGCCCCGAGATTTGAAACTAAGAAGACAGTTAGAGGCTCGAGGAGTTATCCCCTAGTAGATACTCTGACACTCAAGTTAGTCGAGGAAATGTGGTCAGTCGGGCCGAGCAATTATAGAATAGTGCTAGTCCAAGCAGAGTAATGGTATGGAAGTCAAAAGTTGGATCCCTTACCTTGAGCAGGAGGTACCTTTTTATAACCGAAGATCTGTGTTTTGGTCGGATGAGACTTTTGGGGTTGTCGGGATGAGGTTAACCGTCGAGGTCTTTGAGATAAGACTTAATCCCCAGCAGAGTCCTCATCTATACGACGTTCTCCTGTTTGGGTTGCACTTATCCACACAACATGGTGTTGACGTGACTGAAGAGATAAAGGTGGGTTGTAGAGGTGACACGGTGCTGACGTGGCTGGGGAGATAAGGTGGGTCATGGAGGTGATGCAGCGCTGACGTGGTTGAGGAGGTAAGGTGGCTAGGTAGGCGACATGTGGTGTCTGGGGCCAGATCAACTATAACCCAAACACTTAGAACCGGTGTTGCCACATAGGTATTTTATGAGAAAATAACACTTGTTTTGCTTGGTACTAGTGCTGATAGCAATGTTTTCAACATTGATCTATATCATCCAACGTCCAAGATGAAGCCACATTGATACCACATCATTGTACCGCTGATAACAATACGTAGTTTTCTCACAAAATATTGAACTTGGCATTGGTCCAAACGATATGTTTCCGATTTCTAATGCATGGTCTAAAGCAAATTTTTTTTTGAAAAAACGATACCAAACAAAAAAAACGTTACTTAAAACACCAAACAAGAGAACCTTATTTAAAACACGACTTTCTCTTACACCGTTTTCTCGTAAAACGGCATCAATGCCAAACACCCACTTTACCRTTACAAGACGGTCCCCCATTATTGACAAAAGAATATTTTAATTATGAAAGCTAGTATGAGATAATCTTTGGCCATGATATGTAAAATCATTCTCCTGGCGCTGAAGCAAAAGCCAATATCTTCCACGGGCCATAAAGTACGCGTAAAATCGTCGTGATTAAGATGGGATCGCGTGGATGTGGGACCGAGTAAGTCGGAGCGTCGGACATCATCCTTCATGTCCACGCCATGTGTACTGTGTTCAGATAATGCGGTGATATGCGCGTAGGCTAGCAAGGACGGATCAAGTACTTGCCTACTTGGTACTTGGGATCAGGAATCCCATAAAACTGAAATTGCCAGGTTTCATATCATATTTGATTAGTTGTCCATGGACACATACACTGCCCCTTTTTATCCGTTGTAAATCAGATATCACATGTGGACCTTTTTGTCGGCCACGTGTCAAGTTAGAAACCCTAGCGCGATTGAGACGGGAAGGAGTCCGTCCTATTGTGTGAGAGAGGCAGGTCACACACCAGATGTAACGTGGAGACGGCCCAACACGTAGCCAGCAGCGAGAAAAAGGAGAGAGAGAGATAACAGGGAACAGAGAACACAGAAGAACTCGGAGTGTCGGACTGACTCGGAAAAGGATTCTCTCTCTCCAGGAAGGGGAAGAAGTCCGGAGGCCGCAGCTGTTTGTKTTCTGGTTGGACAGTTGAGTTGAGTCCTGGGTGTTGAGTATATTCTGGGAGCCGTACGGACCAACTACAAATCTAAATTTAATTAGAAAAATGACCAATCAGCCCAGATCAGAATTTTATAGCGCCAAGCAGGAAAATGCATCCTGACCGTGAATTAATGTCAAATTCACGGGTAAGATGTGATTTATAGGGAAGAGGACTACTGAAATTCAGAATTCTGCATCGTGTGTATCCGTACTTCTCCGATTTAATTACGAGGAGGACTGCTGAGTTGCCGTTCCGATTCAGCAGCCGTTGGATCTCAACACCAAATAAATCCTAAGAAGGGTTCGATTGGTGGCGGCTGCTCATCACTATATACAACCCTGGTCTCCTCTCCCTCTCACTCCTACCTGGACTTCCACCTCACTTCCTCGCTTCCCTGTTTACGCCATGAAAACAGGTCAGTCCTCTCTCTCTCTCTCTCTCACCTAATTTGTTTTATCTTTCTAACTTTCTTTATATATGTAGATATTTACTCCTTTAATCGTCTGATGTGTTCTTGCTGCTGCATCTGGTTCTCGATCTCTCTGCAACATTTTTTTTTAGAAAGGCTGGATTTGGTTGTTTATTTATCTCTAACAATTTCTTCTCTTTTCGTTATCTTTTGACGTTGGGCCCGGGGAGGGGGCGTTGTAACTGGTTGCTTCTTTTAGATTATTAGGAATTGACCTTCCTGCTCTTCTCCAGTCTCCATAGCTTACTAGGTATTCGGTTTGTTTGCTTTATATTTCTTTCTTCTTTTCAAAAAAATGCCTTTGCAGTTTAAAGAAAGAAACGTGGCTGTTCGTTGGATTTTAACTTCTGAACTAATTTGTTCTGGGTCGTATCTATTTTCTGAAACTGGACCTGATTTTTCGTTCTGTTATTGGTTTATGTTTGGTAGTTGGCAAACGCTCTGTGGTGAATTCATGATTTGTAAATCCAGCAGACAGTTAATCCTTGATAGATAGCCATTGCATTGAAATGGACCGATATTAGTCATCTTTGCCGAGAACGTTCCTTGCATGAGCTGGGAACGATCTATTCAGTTTCATCTTTCTTGTTCTTCGTTGAGATCTAGGAAGACCTATGTATAATCCGTTCACCTCTTTCTGCAGTTCTCAGCTTGCGCTTGGGTGGTCTTTTTGTGTTTCATACTCATATCCATGCTTTCTTTTTTGTCCCGAGTCCCCATTTATTTTCCGAAAATCCAGTAATTCTGTTAAGTTTTCTTTTAAAAGGAAAATTACTTAAATATCCCTTATAATTTTTAAAACTAGCTGAAAGCCTGAAACTTTCCCATGCTTTTAAGAGTAGGGACATCCCCTTTAACATGTTCACTTTGTACAGACCTCCTGTAGCTCTGATAGATATCCTTCACATGGGCTAACAGAATGCTAGTATTGTATTTCAAATAAATCCAAAAATACCATGCCGTTACAAATTTAGATTTTGTTGATACCGTTCATATGTATGATTGGTGAAATGGAACGCTGGAATGAGGCTGGAGAGATGGGCCTAGTGAAAACTGCCTCTGGGCTTTGGAAGATGCTTACAAATCCCTGTAGAGCCTCTTACCTTGGAAACTCAACACTGGTCCTAGTGATCCTGGTCTTCAGAGTGGTGGACTTGATACCTTGGGGAATTCCAGACATAAATGGTTACAATGATATGGGATTCCTATGAAAATTCCAAATGTTTGACAAATATTGAATAAGTGGTTGACACAAATATCATCTTTATATTATAAATTCATTGTTATCAATCCCTACCAAAGAAGAAAGAAGGAAAGGAAAAGAAATCTATCTAACAAAAACACCAGTTGACAATTTAATAATACATGATATTGCTTCCAGAAATCTTTTTTTTTTTTTTTTTGGTAAGATTCCAGCAATCTTGTTTGAAGTTCATCTCATGATTGGAATTTCCTGCTTTCCTATAACATTTCCTTGAAATCTTACCATTGTGATTTCTTGTGATAATATTCTACTTTGCTTGCTGGTAAATAGAATAGTTCTTCACTCTACAAAAGTTTTTCCTGCCCTGAGCAATAAAATAAATATTCCCATAAAGTTGTCCATTAACAATGTAATATCGATGACTAATTTATTCTTAACTGAAAGCACCCTGTCTCATACTTCCTTATGGTCATTTCAGATGCTTCATGAAATTGCTTATAATATAGAAGATCTTGTGTAATATTTTTAGTATTGGTGGAAATCTGAGTATATATTCTACGGAGCGAAATGGGTTCCGGGGAAGACAGCACACCTGCTAAGCCTTCCAAACCAACTACATCAGCTCAGGTTCTCTCTCTCTCTCTCTCTCGTTATTTTTTGATAGTAATTATCATGAAACATAAACATATAATTGTATAAATGCATTTTTTTAAGGTACATATACTATACTTTTATGTATAATTGCATTTAATTAGGAAAATTTTCCTAATCAGGCAATTATGGATACTTGCTAGACGATCCACCTATTTCTGCCAGATTGAGGAATTCTGTGTCTGATCCAGACTAGCCATTTGATAGTAGACTGTAGACCTCTGGAATCTGGGTTGGGCATATGTTTTCTGTCCCAGTTCAGATCTGCCCACCTTGTATTGGAGGATCTCCAAGTTCAGTCATCCAAGGTTTCAATATTTTATTTATTTTTTTAGAAGCCCCAACTAAGGGCTTATTTTGGTCACATTGCAAGGGGACTTAAATGAGTTTTTCCCCATGAAGAGAAGACAGCAAGAGGAACATGTGGGGCTGATCAAACCAGCATGCTGCATTGTTGATTCCTGGATTGTTTATATGCCTTCACTGAATGGCCTAACCAATAGAGTAGTTCTCACCTGAGATTGTAATATCTTTTTTTTTTTTTTCTTTTAATGAAATTTGTCTTTCATATACCATAAAAAGAATAGTCCTCATTAGTCTTAAACCCAATCCAATATTTGATCCGGGTATTTGGATTTGGATGTTAAAACCTGCATTGCTTAATAATCAGATCAGATGTGGATTTGACCCCATTTGATCCAATTAAAATCTAAGTCTGATTAAAATTATATATATAGTTATATAAATTTTACAACTAATAAATTCAGTATTTCATATTTATATGAAATTATTATGTATTTATACGTTAAAAGTGATTAATTTTTCAAGACTTTTTAAAATCTTTCTTTATTTTAATGACGATAAATTGGATTGTGGATTAAATTCTAAGCCAGTTCAAGTCTGAGTCTGATATTTTTTTTATCAGTAACAATGATGCTTTATTAAATAATAAAAATTGTGAAACTTTAAGTACAAGAAAAGGGAGGTAAAATATCTTAACTCCCCTGCAACAGAGAACAAAAAAGAAAGCTAAAAATTTACCCAAAACATAGTTTCCTTAAACGCCCCTTGCTTGGCTAACCCATCAGCCATTGAGTTAGCGCTTCTCTTCACCCAACTGTACTTCACCTCAATATCCCTACTCAGCCATTTAAATTTTTCTTTTCATTTCTGTAGCTCCACAAACCATTGCTGTCTTCCTTCAGCCACCTAATCTCCACCTCCGAGTCCCCTTCAATGACCAACCATCGAATGTTTAATTCTCTTGTTCTTTGGATTCCTTCTAGAACTGCTAGAATCTCAGCCCTAAGAGAGTCACCCTCTCCAATTGGGCCTTAGAATATGGCATTAATAATCAAATGTCAGCCATGGAATAATCTGAAAATAGCTCCAAAGATTTCAGCCAGTGAACTACCCTTATGTCTGAGTCTGATATTACAGATTTTGGGTCAGATTTGTATATGAAGTTCACTAATTGGATTGGATTTGGATGTGACTGGGTCTGATCCGAATTCAACCCAGTTATAGCCTTAGTTCTCATGTTGTTATTATTGTTATTATTGTACTACTACTACTACTACTACTACTACTACTACTACTACTACTACTACTA